CAAGCCATGGAGTGCGATCTCAGTTTATTTCCGCCCTAAGTGATAGGAACAGAAAAGGGACCCTTAAATAGTTGTGCTTCATGAAGTCACTAACCCTCTCCTTCGAGTCTTGGACTTCTCATTTGTAATCAAATATGGGCATGGATAGAGCATAGACTATGGTCGAGTTCCTTTTGACCTATGTGAATCCATCCATTCCATCCACTTAAAAAGACGGTGTGAAAAAATAAAAAGACTGGGTGACTCATGACTCATCCATGAATCACCCAGTCTTTTCATCCAGCATTCATTTAATTCTTTCAACTATATCCAGGCTACCCATCTATTGAAACTTCATCCATTTGTTCATTAAATTCATCCATCCAGTTAACCATCCATCAGTTTACCTGCCCATTTATTTATCCACAAATGATCTAATCATTCACACACCTAGTCAGTTAATCAGTTCACCATCCATATCCTTCCAACCATATCCAAACTTTCCACTCATTCAACTCCATTCTTCTATCCATCCATCAATCCACTTAACTAGTTAACCCTCCTATCACTCATCTCTCTACCTAACCACACTTCTAATGAATTTATCCACCCAGCTCCCATCCCCCATCCATCCTTCCATCTAGTTAACCTGCCACCTATCTGTTTTTCTAATCAACCCATCCAACTTATTGGAAGAACTAGTCCAGCAATGTACCATATACACAACTGCCATAGTTTCTTCTCCCTCTTGGCTTGGAGGTTGCAGCCTTCGCCTCACTGCCCCCCAACGTCCAGCTGGGCAGCCCCTCTCACCCTTCCCCACCTGCATGAAAAGTACCTGAGCTTCGCCTCTTTTTTTTGTACACCTGCTGTCTCCTATTGACCACCTTCCTCTTTTTCACTTGTCCTTCCAAGTTCTTTCTGTTCTTGGTGTTGCTGCAGGAGTGGGTGGTGGGCCTCATGGGGCAGTGGTGGGAGTGCATGGTGTGTTTGTGATGCCTTGGTGGCGGGCTGGGGCTTGGACTCTGGTTTTGGTGGCCGGGTGAGCTGCGGTGGCCGGTTGGGCTTTTGCTGGAGACCCGGCTTCGGCTGCAACTCTGGCTCCGGCTGCAGCCATGGCTGCAGTTCTGGCAGTGGTGGCTGCAATTGCACTGGTTGCAGGTGTGGCTTTGGGGCCGAGAGTTGCTATGGGGCTGGGTGTGGGTGATGGGAGGGTTCTGTGTCTTGGTGTCCATGGGAAGCCACTTGTGGGGAGGCAGCGGCTGCCTCCTCCTCCTCCTCTTCTTCCAGCACACGCAGCTTTGCAGAGTCCCTAGCAACCCCCAGTTATATAGTTGGGCCCAATTGTGATGGCACAGACCATGGGGGTGTAACAGATGTGGCCTGGTTGGGACAAAGCGCCCTAACCCTTACACTAACCCCTAGGGCGGGGCAATTTTCAGGGGCCCTCTGGAATAATCCCATCTGTTGGTTAAGAGTAGGGACCCTTGGGTCATATTGAGCTGGTTCCCCATCACAGATCTACATTTTCCTTTCCTTATGGGTCACTCACCTGGGCTTTCATCCCTCCAAGTCCCAGTTCCCTGTCTTTGTAGAATGGGGACATAAGAATGCCCATCTCTTAGGGATGCCAGACAAATTAAATGAGAGAATCTGTGTCCAGCAATTGGCTCAGGGACAGCCCACAGTAAGAGCTCAATAAACATTGCTAACATTCCAGCTCTTTTCTTACTTCCCCTAGCTGCTTAGAGGCCAGGGCACAGTCCTGACCTCAGTGGTTGATAAGATAGATACCTAGAGCAAGGATAGATGGGTGGGTAGGTGGATGGTGAGTAGATTGGATGGCTTATTGGATGGATGAATGATAAGAGTAATGGGAGTGGTCCTGGGGGCTGCCTGGCAAGCCCACCTCCCAGGCAAGATTTAAATTCTGGAGATTTAGTGCAAGGTTCAATCCCAGTGTGTGCTGATAGCTATCTAGGGTAGGTCACTTTGGTTTGTGAGACTTCTTTATCTGACAAAGGGATGTCATTCCTTCCTTCCTGGTATTCTTGTGAACCTGAAGTGCCTGTCAAGCCACAGGAGGCACTTGGAAACCCTCTTCCTCCTTCAGATTCCTGCCTCCTGACTCCACCCCCCTCCCTACTCAGGAAGCCTCACCTACAGTAGGAATCAGGCCCGCCCCACTCGGATCTCCAGGCACCTATGGAAGAAAGCTCAATCGGTTTGCACACGAGACCCTGTGAGCACATAGCAGCCCAACCCTTCCCACGCCTTGGCCGGGAATCCATCCATTCCATCCACTTAAAAAGATGGCACTTAGCTCTTGGCCACTCTCAGCCTGCACTTGCCCCCCTCTTCCCCATGAAACTCCTTCAGTCTCCATCTCCCCTCCCCTGGCAGGCCCCCCAGCCCACATCTACTTCTCCTTCTCTGTCCTCATGCACACTTGGCCTCTTGTTATGAGACTTTACTATCATCTGCTTTTATTACAGTTTATTTCTTAACAAGCTTATCACATCATTCAAGTGACAGCCGCCCTCATTAACGGGCACTTTCTATGTAGCTGTGCTCGGGGCAACCCCTCCCCCCTTCTAGGCAGCTTTGTCCTTGAGTCTCACAGTGAGCCTTTGTAGTGGGTTGAATGGTGGCCCCCAAAAGATATGTCCAGGTCCTAACCCCAGAACCTGTCAATATGACTGTATTTTGAAAAAGCATTTTTGTAGATATAAGTTAAGAAGAGTGTATCTTGGTTATTAAGTGGGCCCTAATCCAATCACAGATGTTCTTTTTTTTGTTAATCCTCACCTGAGGATATTCCCTCTTCCCCTCCCCCCGCCATTGATTTTTAGAGAGAGTGGAAGGGAAGGGAGAGAGAGAGAGGGAGAGAGAGGGAGAGAGAGAGAGAGAGAGAGAGAGAGAGAGAGAGAGACATGGGTTGGTTGCCTCTTGCACATGTCCTGGCCCAGGCCAGATGGAGCCCAAGACCCTTCAGTCTGTAGACCAACGCTCTAACCGTTGAGTCAAACTGACCAGAGCACAAGTGTTCTTATAAAACAGAAGAGAAGACACACGGGGAGAATAGACCACATAAAGTCAGAGGCAAAGATTAGAGTTATGCAGCCACAAGCCAAGGAACGCCTTGAGCTGCCATGAGCTGTACAAGGCAAGGAAGGATTCTCCCCTGGGACCTCTGGGGGAGAGGGGGATGGCTCAGCTGACTTCTTGATTTCAGACCTTGGCTTCCAGAATGAGAGAGAATAGATTTCTGTTGTTTTAAGCCACGAAGTTTGTGATCATTTGTTCCAGCAATCCTAAGAAACGAATGAACCCTAGAGGCCGGCATGACTGTTACATTTTACAAAGAGGGAGCAGGCTCAGAGTCACAGATAGTCAGTGGCAGAGGCAGGATCCAAACCCAGGTCTGCCCTCCCCCCCGCCCCCCCGTCCCCCTGTCCAGCCTTATGGTCACTGAGGGGCCTGAGGGGATTGCAGAGGCACATGCAGCTCTGTTCTAATGGCCTTGCCTTGTGTGGGCTCAGTGGGCGGGTCGCCATGCTGTGCTGATTCTTTCTGGGTCCTCCTCCCCCCACACCTCCACTGCTGATTCCCCACTTCCACACGCCCGAGTGTGTAGAAGGACGGAGACCGTGTTTTGTTCATCCTAGAGCCCATAGTGACTACAGAAGGGGCTTGACACATATTTGACTGAATGGGCAGGTGGATCGCTGGGACTTAGATAAAAGGAAGAAGCTGGGTGACAGAGTTACTGGGTCAGGGGCATGGGTAGGAATCCGTTAAGACTTGTAGACAGCGGGCCTCCTGCTTTGGACATCACTTGCCCTCTGCCATCTGCATGTCTTAATGGTGGCTTCCCCTCTGAGTAACCCAAGGCCTCCTTACCCCTAACACTCTCCCCCTCCCCGCAAAGTAGCTGAGGGTTCCCAGGAAATACTGCCACTCCCTTCCCCAACAGCCCTGATCAGGATTCTACTCAGCCAAGTGGCTGGTGCTTGGGGGCTACTGAGGGCAGAGGGTGGAGATCACATGTCATTTCTTCACGGGCAGGATGGACCACAGGGTGGCCAGAGTAAGTCGACACAGGGCCTGGGTTTTATATCTGTGTCTGGCAGCTTCTCTGGGCTTCCTTTGCCTGTGGCTCTCATGAGGACGTGGGTCCTGCTCCCACAGCCAGACCACTTGATAAAGGCAGACGTGAGCCTCTGTGAGCACGGGTGTCACCTTGAATATGAGGGCGGCAGCAGAAGAATCACGGACTGAGAACTAAGACCTACCACATACTCTGACCCCAAAACCAGGGCCAGTGAGGTGGTGGAGCCAGCAACAATACTGTCCTGGGCCCACCCAAGGCTTCCGTTAATTCTCCCAACCCACTGACTAGGGGACACTACTCATCTCACCCTTACCCAGGGAGGGGCAGGCCAAGGCTCACAGACAGACAGTGACTTGCTCAAGGTCACACAGCTAACAGCAAGAAGTTGATTCCTGGTGTTCTGAACTCCCAAGCCAGTACTCCGTAACAGAACCGCGGTGGCTAGAGCAGCAGGATGGGGGCTTTGCTGAGGGAGCGTACACTGGCCCCTCAGGCGCTCTCAGCCTGTGTACTCTCCTGCTCCCCCTCTGTCCCATTACGTGTACACCCCCAGAGAGGGGACTGGCTGAGATGACTTTCCTACCCAGGCGACCACATTTTTGCCCCCTAAAGCAGGGGAGGGTGGAGGAGAAGTCACAGGGAGTGGACCTGGTGAGAACTTCTGGCTGGATGTCAGGAGCAGGCTGTCACCGACTCCTGCTCTTCCACCTCCCTGAACACACTCACATACACACATGGGCATGCACACGCGCACACATACACAGGGGCACACGCACAGTACCACAGGCACAGGATTGAGGAGACCAGGGCGGAGGAGAGTTCCTTCGGAGACTTTATTGGCTCTTTTTCTGAAAGTTCTTCTCGCTGGAACAGCAGCAGGCACCTCTTCCTGGGTCGTCATCGGGGGTCAGGAGTGCGTCTGCTTGGGCTCGGGGCTCTGCTGGGCCACAGGGTCGTCTTCAGCGCCCTCCTCCTGCCTCTCAGGCTCCATCAGCAGCAGTTTGCCCTGTACTGGGAGCTCCTCTTCCTCTTCCTCCTCCTCCTCCTCCTCCTCCTCCTCTTCTCCCTCCTCCTCTTCCTCACCCTCTGAGGACAAGGAGAAGTTATCTTGACTCACGCAGGCCACGAGCTTCTTCATGGAGGATTCGTGGCCCCGGCTGTGGCCTGTGCCTAGCTTGGCACAGTGGGAACCCATGCCTGCTTTGGCTGCCTCTCCAGACTGGGCGAGAAGGCCTCTGGGGGAGAAGTGGAGGGGCTTGTGAGGGTTGTAGGCAGGGCGCTGACATCACAAAGGTGCCCCTGGAGCTCCCCACCCTCGGATTCCTGAGTCTTGACACCTGACTCTAACCTCAGCCACCAGCAGCCCCACTGAGCGCTCGCCACCTACACAGCAGGGCAGAGGCAGAACACCAGGCCAGGGCCGATGCTGCCTCCCCCTGCCAGGTTGCCTCCTCCATCGGGCCTCTTTTGCTCTTATAAAAGTCCCCCTTTGAGCTGGGATGGCAGTTGGGGATAGAATTTCCAGAAGCAAGAGTCCCAGACATACCCAGCCTAGGAGAGCTGCTGACAGAATGTGACAATAGGTCAGAATAGTGGCTCCCTTTGGGGGCTGGAGACACAGAGGAGCCTTGTGTTAGGAAGGGCTGGGAATGTTCACTTTCTTGACCTGGGTGGTGCCTACACAGGTGTACTTAAAGTCTGTGTCCTCTGTGTAAGCCACACTTCTGTAAATCTAACGAAAACCCTTCTCTTTCCTGTCCTCCAAAAATCACCCTTTAAAGGCAGCGCTCCTAAGCTTTTTGGGTCACGAGTCTCTCTAGCTACACATACCCATAGGACACAATTTCAGCAGGGGAGGGCTGAGTGAAGTCCCCTTGGTATCCATTTTCCAACATGTAAATCAAAGTTTGACAGTTTTCTGTCCCAGATCCTTGGTGGCTATGATAAGCTGAATAATGACCCCTTGGGGATCTTTTTTTAAAAACTATACTTTTTTTTTTTAATTTCAGAAAAGAAGGGAGAGGGAGAGTGTGAAACATCAATGTTGAGAGAGAATCATTGATCAGCTGCCTCCTGCACACCCCCTACAGGGGATTGAGCCCATAACCTGGGCATCTAACTGTGGCCTCCTGGTTCCTGGGTTGGTGCTCAATCACTGGGCCACACCAGCCGGGCCCCCCTGGGGATCTGGAATGGGAAGATTATCCTGAGTTAGCTGGGTGAGTTCTAAATGCAATCACCAGGGTCCCCGTGAGGAGGCAGACATTTCACAGAGGAGGCCTTGTGACCACAGAAGCAGAGACTGGAGTGCTGTGGCCACAGCCAAGGGACACCAGGATGACAGAACCACCAGGAACTAGGAAGGGGTGAGAACGGGCTCTGCCCTGGAGCCCCCAGAGGGACTGCAGCCCTGCTGACTGGTACACAGGGTCCCATCTCAGAATCTAGTGGCCCACAGGCCTCACCCTAATCCACCCCTTTCCTTTTGTTTCCTCTATGCCAGACCTTCCCATCTCCGCATACTTTCCCAAGCTACCCAACACATCCTTAAGGTTCTTTAAGTTAGAGAGCCTGGCCTTAGAGACCCCTGCAGATGGGGATGATAAGGAAACGGGAAGGTCAGGGTGGAATAGTGTGGCCTTTAGCATCATAAAAGGCAAACCCAGGCACAGTGTGTCACAGGTAACACCCTGTGCCTGACTCCCGGGAGCACTCTTCTGAACTCCCTGCCCTAGCCCCAGCCTCTTACCCCCCCAAAGAAGGGAAGCCATGTTTGTATCATTTGCATAAAGGAGACCCTGACAAGCCAGCAAGTTTCTTATCTCAAGCTTTATTTGGCAGATGACTTTGCTCATTTTACTCAAGAACTTATGGGCTCAGGGTTTGGGCATCCAGCATGGAGGGATTGCTGTGGTCATGTGAGGTGGTTCCTTGTCAGGTGACTTTTCCTCGATTTCCAACCAGGTGTGGGATGGGCCCAGGAAGGTTTAGCGGCACCTTCTGTATCTTCTCCTTCTGCAACCTTTTGGAAAAGAGAGTTCTAGTCATAGGGCAATTCAGAGAACCCGGGTGGGGCTGGGGATTGGGACTGTCAAATGGGGTGGGATCCCAGGGTATCATGAGCCTCCCGCCGCCCTTCTGGGCATGGTCTGGAGGTGTCAGGTGCCCAGAGCGTGAGCGAGTAGGACTAGCCTAACCTCTGCGGCGCCTCCTGCGCCTGCAGCAGCGTCTCCGGCGTCTCCGGCATGAGCGCCGCCGCCTTCTGTGGATCCTGTACAGCCGCCTTCGGGAGCAGCGCCTGCGTCTATAGTGATAGCAGCCTCTGAGTGTCCTCCCATCCACCTGGCCGTCCTCTGCATTCGGATCCTGCTCTTGCTCCTGGGCTTCCTGCTGTGGGCGTTGGCTCAGACTCCTCGCGTTGTGTCGGACCATTGTGATTGCAGGTCAGGCGCTTAGGTTGAGGCTGTCGCTGGCTTTGGGGGCAGGGAGGAGGGCTGAGGCCTGCCCACCTGCTCTTGCTGTTAGTGTTGGTCTGGTCTGCCGGCAGCTCTTTGGGCACTTGTATATAAAGTGGCCCCCCCACTATGACTTGGCAGCCCCACCCCACCATTGTCCTCACCCTGGCCGGCTCCTCTGTGAAGAAAACAGAGCCAGGGTCCACAGTCAGCAGGGCCCGGAAGGGCAAGCCATCCCTTTCCGATCCCTTGTAGCAGGCGGGACTTTGCCAACCTTTTCTTGTCCAAATCTAAGCCCTTCTCTCATCCAGCGGGTCGGAATCCCCAGGTAGCCATTTCTGAAGTTTCCTCACCACTGAGAGGCTGCGCCATGGTCTGTGTGGGACTTCATTATTGCTTTTCTATCCAACAGTTATCTAGTGGTTACTGTATGCCAGGCATTTCATTCATTTACTTTCATACATTCACTCATTTACTACTCACTGTTATAATCCCCATTTCCAATGGGGAAACTGAGGCACAAAGCAGTTAAATGACTTGTTCAAGGTCACTCTGCAAATAAGGGGCAAGGGTGGGCTTCAGAGTCTATGCCAGCCGTGGGCAAACTACGGCCCACGGGCCGGATCCGGCCCGTTTGAAATGAATAAAACTAA